ATTCTCCTCGTTCAGTAACTGATATCACATTTGAATATACTATAAAACTACTTTTAAAACTGCGTCGAACCACGCATTTCAGATCTTCATCTGAGGTTATATACGTTAACGCACTACCGATTGAGCATTGCGGCCCACAAGAAAGAGGGATAGATAGTCAAATGTCAAATGTTGCAAGTGAAAACTTAACAAAAATATAAATAAAAAAGGACGGAAATATAAAACTCAATGGTCATCAAAATACCATAATATCTGAAATTTACACAGAACCAAACAATTCAATGTATAGTAATATAATACCATTGTGTATTTGACAGTCTTTTTTTTCTAGCTGTTTTTTTTTATATTCTCTATTAGGAATCGATATCTTTCTGTTAATCACATTATTTTTTTACCATTATTATTTCTTTATTTCCTCCAATTTGAAGTGTAACAAGAACATATATACAAGTTAATTAAAGGTCAATTCATAATAATTTTTAAACATGTACAAAAACATAATATCAAACAAATTATTAAGACATTTTTCGTCTGTTATCAAATTCGTTTTCAGATAACTGGCATTTCATTACAATTTCATCATTTTGTCAACAGAAATAGCACGAATCAAAACAAAGTTTTCATAGTCTAATTTACACAGTCTATTATGGAGGATACCTCCAAGTAGTATGTGAATTAAATTATGGTTTGAAAAGGAGTGCAAGTAAACAAGTAGTTCTATATCATACAGTATACTTTTAACATCATTTATATTAAAAAGGTAAAGATGATAATCATAGAGCAGTCCCTTATACATGTGCTTGTTATTTCATATTATAAACAATTTCAAACTCATAACTGTCGCTTATTAACTTAACATTGACCCGATCCTGGATATCTTGACTCTGACCTTTGTCGAAATTGACCTGGTGTAATGTGAACCGCAAGAACGGATTGTCGTTCCTGCTCAAGGTGGCGCTGCATCGAATATCCCATTATAACTGACCAATCTTATCATTTATTTTCTACGATATTTATTTTTGTTAAGGTTAATTTTGAGGTCACAGAAACTTTAGTCTGAACCAAAGCCTTTATCAATCTAATTAAAATCCGATCTCACATCATCACAGTAAGTAGTGTAATGAGAGAATTGATTTTAATTAGGTTGATCTATTCTATGGAAATATAGAAACAGATTATACTTAAATTTTGTCCATGTAAACTCAGGTATTGAAACAAAAACAACATGTATGCTGAATGAACCCTGATTGGCGAATGTCGTCAGGCACGCCCTTCAACATCGTTTGATTGACAGACAGACAAGGTAGTATCACAAGAGGGTGACGAGCAGTGATGTTGATGCAATTGAACTCTGTGTGAATAAGTTTTTCATTCAATGACCAACTACGTAATATTATGTTTAAAGGAATTATGATTTAAATAAAAACTACATCAATGATAAAAACGAAACCTTATAACACAATTGAAATCTAATACTGAAGGACATGATTGATATCAAGACATTAAATGGTTTCATAGATCGTTACGTTATATTTTATGTTTTAGCTTATCTTGCTAGATTAACAGTACTATGGTACTTGTATTTTCCCCATTTTAAACAGTATTTATGTGTCAAATTCTCCTTTTTTTATCACAATTTAAGATACGGATTCATGCTTTTCAAATTGTCCACCTTATTCCCTGTTGAATTTAAAGACAAATAGTAACAGATTGCTCGCGTAAATTATTCAAAGAGTCTGCCTTCTTTTACCTGTCAGTGACAAACAGTTTGAACTTCGTTAACTCTTATATTTCTTCAAATTTTAGGCATTATCAGATGGTCAGTAAAGTGCGACAACAGTAGAAAAAAAGAAAAAAAACCACTACAAAACCAATTACGTGGTGCATTTTCAGGGCTAGCTCCGAGTCTTGATTAGATTTCGCCAAATTTTAATATGTTCCCAACAAGTGCGCGTGATGACGCGCAATCATGGACCAGCCCCCCCCCCCCCCCCCCCCCCCCCAAAAAAAAAAGACTCCGCCCCTTTAATTTTCATTTATACATCCATATATGCATTCTTATGTATCCTATGTCTCTTAGACAGGAAATGAATTATTGAAATGAAGAAAAAAAAATATGTGTTATTACTATAAAACACTAACACTGCAAATGATTTACCCTAACTTACCCTATTGTTCTTCACAGAGCACCCCTCGGAACTAGACAATATAGTCATAATTGGATAATTGGCGATTTTGGTATCAGACGGAGTCGATGTGTTGACAGGGGACCATTTAAAAAAAAAAAAAAAAAAAAAAGAGCTCCAATATTCTGACCTTGCCATTCAACGGAAATGCATTCAGTCGTGACATCGTAGTACACAAGCGGCATCCTGGGGCTAAATTTGTGTATTTTATTTTGGGTTTCGAGTATGCTTGATTTACTTAGATTAACGTCGGTAGGTATGGCTGATGGTGGCGGCTGAATTTATCGACAATTTTACAGGTAAATATGGACATCCCTAATACACGGCTCTTATCGCATGAGTAAGCGCCGATGAGTCCTGCTGACATCTCGTGATTCTCAACGTCCCGATCGCGGGGGTTCATCGCGATTCGACTTGTCATCGTAAACCATCGTGATTGAGTCCTGATGACCGAACGGCATAATTGACCTATCATCGGGAACCACGGTGATTAGAGCATGAGGGACACGCGTCACCCTAAATCTTGATGATTAGCGCTTCACTTGGAATATCTATAGGCCGTACTGTAGAAATTCAGAAATTTGAGGACGACTGGTTTCAATTAAATAATGAGTGAATTGTGCATTAGGAAACTTCCAACCATCTTGTATTTGAAAAAAATGTCATCGCATTGTTCACAATTATTCAAGGTTATTGTGAACGTTTCATAACGTGGCCCTCTCTATCAGATGGCCCGCAAATGTTGTAGTCTCATAACAACGTTTGCCTTCTACGTGCATTGAAATGGAAGGATGCAGAGCAAATGTAAATATTACGAAATGTTTTCAAGATAATCATATTTCGTTATATAATCCTTTTTATGACATTAAATCATTATAAATTACAAGGGGTGATATATTGATAGTGATATTATGTTTGCAGCTATTTAGACAAGTGTGTGGACCAAACTATCAATCATTCAATCCCCCATGACCGTTCATATTCCATGCGAAATCATTTAGTAAAATTAACCTTAACTTAAAATCAAAGGTAATCGGAGACTTACGACGTAGGTAAATACTTTGCAAACACCGTGTCTTCAATAATCATCGGTAAAGATAGGTGTTGCATAGCACGCATGTAAAAATTGTGAAAAACATGAAAAAATATAATTTCAACTTGCTGATGCACGGCTGTAGCTACGAAAAGGAGATGAAGTGTTTTATAGAAAGAATTAATCACCTTTACCGAGCACTGGCAAGGTAACAAGATAACACTTTCAATTTAAGAAAGACGATGGAGACGCTTTTGTTGTTACTTTATCATATCGGCGATTGATTGAGAAGTTGATGGGCCGGTCTGGTTTATTATATAAACCATATGTAACCGTTTGTGTTAAGCTGATTAAATCATACATGCACTTGCATTGATGTTACACACCGTGATTACCACTGCTGTTTAATCAAGCAAAGGTTGGATAGAATTTTAGTTTGCACGTTGGCTACGTCAACAAGCTAACCACGTAAACCCCGCGGGCAATAGACAGGAAGTTATGTTAATGGCGTATGCAAATTTGTTCTGATGTTCCCCTCTGATGCTCAGACACGACAACCTCTAGTACTTTCGATGATTATTATGCATCGTTATACATTCCGATGTCGTAACCTTAATGGCAACAAAAATCTATGTTGGGGTAATGCACGATTCATAATATACACACTTAACTCAACATTTAAATTAAAAACAACCAGCACTCCACTAAATTATGTAGTGCATAAATTCAGGGGTCGTACATAACATTTTTTGCAAATTTGAATTTCGAATTTGTTGGCCACTGGCCTCAACGATGATCCCGAGAAGAACGAAACAGCTGTATAGTGCAGAATAATTCAGTTTTGGCGAGCTGTGTTTATCACTAATTTCTAAAAGTGCAAACACCTGTACCTAGGTGTGTGTGTGAGCGTCTGTGAGTGTGTGTGTGTGTGTGTGTGTGTTTTGCGTTTATCATACACTTAATCAAAGTTAGCCGTACATATCATTTATAAAACACTGGCGCAGTTAGAAGTGACAAGATAATATATCAAATATCTTGAAATCTGTCGAGCTAGCATTTGCAGTCATTAAAACTTTTTCGTTAAAAATCGTTTTATTACAAATTATGAATCTTTTCAGCCAAATAGTTAAATTATATAATGTTACAGTCACTGACAAAATATAAGGCTTTAACTTATATATGTATGTACATATATTATGTACAAAGGTTCACAAAAACGATTGAACGCATATTAACCTATTTTATAAAGTCTTTTCCCAATTTGTAATATTTAAATGTTATACATTTCTGTTTAGTTCCTGATGTGTAAGCACGTTTATCTTCTGTGACTCTTTACATTTGTGTTTGAGTTATCACTTTAAAACAAACTCAAACGCACACCTGTAACGCTGTACGTTGGATTTTATGAGGTAAATATATGGTAACATGAACCTGAGAAACATAAATTAACCGAGAAAAAATCAAAGTTAGTATTTCTTTTCAGATCTATATCACCACATAATGGGCGAAATACAACTGCTTAATTGCTATTTTAGATATGTAAGGGTAATTTGTCACAATACGACTACCGGGGAAATACTCCCCGATCTGACGTTAAAGTTTATTAGGGCACGTGCACGACCATAAGAGTTTTCTCTGGGTACTCGAGTTCAGCACAGTGATAGCTACCTCATGATACACCACAGTGTCAGAAACGAATTGAAGTACCATTAACAATCACTGAAAGTACCAAAATACATGGCAGGCCAATTTCATACTATTTTGTCGCGTTCAATACTCACAGAATACAATGATGGCAAGGGCAATCCTGAAGAAGTGGTCAAGATTATTGTTTGTATACGCCTGCCAGTGGAGGAGACTCGCTTGGGCACTCCTTAATTCGGCGATTTGCACTTGCAGCTCCGTTATATTGATAGTCATGTTCATTTCAGTAGAAATCGTCATCTTTTTAACTACCAAAAATCAGGACGTCTAACACATGTATTTCAGACACTTTTAAAATTTGATTAAATCAATATGTATCTTTGTTTAGCATGAATATTCAGATTGGATAAACAATCGTACGAATGAACCCGTTGACATGTGATTAATGAAATGCTGTTATGAAACATGAATGTTCCTCGTCAAAGATGAGTGGGTTTTGTATAAAATCGCTGATTCGTCAGTGTCATTCACGCATCAGTGAGAAAGGTTTTTCGTCTCAGTGTTGTTATGAACTGTATGTGTGTATATATCTCACAAACTCTTTCGCAATGGCTTTATACTACCTTACCACTGATGACTTACCAAGAAATCGTATTTATGTGTTAGTCGTTCGATGGTCAAGAGCGTATGGACGCGCTTCGCACGCTCCAAGGGAGATAACTTTCCCAAAATTCACTAACCTCATCCCCGTTTTATGTCAGAAACTGGCTGAATCACAGACAAGGTGATATTATAGGGAAGCAGGTCTGAATTTTGAGCTGTTCGTGTCACTCGGGGTAATGAATTTTCGATACTCTAGGGGTTAATCTCACTTTCGCTCTTTGCACCCCTGACATATGTCCAAGCGAAATCGAAGGCTCAGTGTTCACCTCATTGTGGATGAGAGGATTAGACTTGTTTGATCCTCTGATGTATATCAAAAGAGTCAGCCTTGCGATTGGTCAGATTTTACGATATACCAATCCAATAGCTGCGTGCCTTTAATTTTGCTATGACATATTTCAGGAGTGCAAAGAGCGACATTGAGCGTAAACCCTGGAGTATCGAGAATGGAGGTGATGGTACACCGATAAACCCTAAGGCGGGACACAGTTTCACCGGTTTCTCTAGTGCAAATGCTAAAGTTTATTCTTGGAAGTGTGTGCGCTTTACTCTTATTAATTACATGACTATTGCTAATATGACCCTCATCCCGGGCACAAAATACCGTGCCTTGTTTAGTTATTCTACTTGGTTGAAGTTTGGAAAGAGTCGGTGACCGCTCCAGGGGCTGACCCTCTAAAAAGTTGGAAGACAACATCAACAATTCTTCAAGAATTATGGAATGTCAAAGCTACACACAAGAGTTACTTAATCCTTGCTATAGCTGTAACATTGAGCATAGGAATCACACTCAAAACCACAAGGGTTTGTTGGTTGTACAAGGCTGAACGTCCTATTACCAGGTGGATTTGCTTTCTTGGGCTTGGATCTGATGCCCGGTCACATAATACTGACAGCGAGTGAAAAAGCTGTTGTCATTACCCTTAATGCTGTACATAACTAGGAATAACAACAACCATTTTAAGTTATTTGGTATGTCTGGACCTTAGAACAAAACCCATTGCCTTCCTCACCTGGGCGAACGTTCGACATTAAAGGCAAAAAAAGAGGTAATGTAAAGCAAGGAGCTAGGAAGTAAAAGGTACTTAGAAGTAGAGAGAAACATAAAGATTACAAATATTGCAATGGTTGCAGCAGCTTTATTTTTGTCCCTTTTGTGTTCCCAAGTAGAGGACAGAAATGCACAACCCATATTCTTTTTAAGAATGGTCATAATCGAGGATTACAACCTTATCATTAACACCAAAGGTCTGAAGGACAACTACTCTGTTTGCAGACTCGTTCTTCTTGTCCTCTCTAGGTTGACCCCACCACTGCTTGCAACACTTGCCATACGTTTCATCATTGTCTGATGTCGTCACAGGTGATCGAAACATTCGATTTAGGAGGGGACATTTGTTTCCATTTCCTCTCCCCTTCAGGTAGAGATGAGGTAGATGATAGCCTTACCGCCTTATCTATTACAATGTTGATTCCAATCATATATAAAACGATCTTCTCTTTTTGAGTACCATGCGCTTTATGACAGGTAAAAACTCCTCTTGAAAATTAAAGGATAACTCCAATGTTCTGTCCTCACTTTATCATTATGGACCTAGGAGTGTCATGATGGAGTGTTGTTTCTGGTGTCACAATTAACTACATGTAGAATCGTTGATCCTCCAAGATGACTTATAATATAACGCTAATACTATCAGAGAATGGTATCGTATGAGATTTCGTATGACATTTTGTAGAACAGGAACTGGAAGCACTGTTGCCATCCCTCTCCCCCGCTACGGGGTCCTAGGGGTCCCTGTCGGGTTTTCTTACAGTGTCGGTGCATTTTGCGGTTGAAGCTAACTTGAATATGGGGATCGGTCGACGTACAAGACACGTCTGCCGAGGATAGCACTGGGGCTACTGTAGTCAGTTAACTGATATCAATAACGGTACTGTTAGAGGAAGGATTAACAGTATCTTTGTCCCACTGTCTCTGTCTGTCTCTCTGAGAAACTAGACAGCGAAAGAATTGGTAAAATATAACCTATCAAATGAATACAGATATTTACTTATATCAGTTGCAGGGAGGTTATATTTTGCACTGAAACCTCCTTTGGAGCGAAGGGTAACTTTGCATTTCTTTCGAAAAGGAAACTAAACTACAAGCGTAGAAAAGGAGCCGGAGCTTGTCAATCCGTTTCCGGAATACGTAAAAGTACGATAATTAGAAAATGTGATAACATTACAATGCTAAAAGGACGAAATTGATCCAATACAATATTTATACAGGTGCTCTCAAGTACCTTTTTCACAGGAGTGCTTTTATGTAAAGTTATCATGTAATTCATAATGATATTGGCTGATGTACATGTGAGATCCTGCAAGCTTTTCGCAGTCCATAACCCGGGAAAACATGGTACACGTCAGTTTCATATCCTCTAGGCACGCCCCATATCAAACCGGTTAGCATCACATCCACTCGACACGCCCCTTATCCACCCTGCACTTCCCACATCCACTTGGCACGTGTAATATCCGTTAAACTACCGGTTCGACAAATTTAAAACGTATATCTCTATAAAACTCGTTTTGTGAAATTGCTAATAATTTTGATGTTGTAGTTACAACTTGCAATGTTTGATTTTTTCCTGCCCAGGCGTGTAGTAAAGGGGATTTCAACCACAGGAGTTTCAAATAATGGTAAAATCTCAGACTTGATGGTTTTTGCATCAATTCGAAAATATCGGGGATTGAAAATCCCTAGACATCTCATTGTTTCTTATTCTAAGGACAAAAGTTAACTACGAAACCTCAAAAAGGCGTGTCGTTATTTCTGCATCGCGGCATCGGAGTTTCCCGATTTTGTGGCGTCACGTCATTGTTGTCAAATTGTGACGTCACGCCTGATTTGATACTATCTTAATATTTTATCATTAAAAATTCCAACACAGAAAGGGTAAATTCAGAAATAAATTGTTGATCTTGTTTAAGCTTGTTTATACATAAAAATAGTATTTATTTTTTACCTTTTAAATTAAATTCATATTATACACACATTAATTATTTTTGAATTTGAGATTAATCAGTATTTCTACAATTTTTGAAGTTCATATGATTAAAGCGTGTTATGCACATCCCTTTCTGATTCAATAATGTTTTATACCTATTTGGGTTTCCTATTTTTTGCCTGGGGCACAAAGATAGAACTAGATGCTATATATTTTGTCACATCATTAACTAGAATACCTCCTACGCAGTGTCTTATAGATCAACTGGTTTCCCAATGCTATCACAAGTCCCTAATTCTTGATAACAATATAATTTTTCAGTTTGTTAATGAGTCCATCCAGTATTACCTTTCGCCACATAATCTGCCATGTTTAGTGTCACTCGTTATTCCTCTTAATGTGTAATCACATGGTTCCCCACCTCTAGCAAACTTTACCCTAATAGACGTTCGTTCAACAAAACTTATTTATTAACTTACCTTTTCTGTGTTGGATTTGATTAATTTGGCGAGCGTCTACAAGGACAGATTATAAATGCTATGTTTCTTATAGGAAGCCGATTAATCAAGACAGATTTTAACAAACTGAGCTACATTTACCTGGCCACCGTTCGTCATCTGGTTCAGATCAGCTGCTATACGTCGAAAACCACGTAACCTTATGTCGTGGCGCATCCATGTTCATTCGCCCGTTAACGTTTTTTGTTTTAATGACTTTTTTTATAAAGACTTAGAAACGTAGAGTTTGGATATTTCGAAAGTCACTTGCTGGTATGAAATGCTACAAACTACTTTTTGACTGTAATGACCATAAATCAAGATCACGGGTCAAGGTAACATTTGTTATTGTTTTCAAAAGACTCTTCTAAAAAAAGCCTAGTGTAATGGAAATGACATTGATCCGTATTCAAGGTCAAAGTCGTTAAATGTGTTTACATGTTCAAACAACTTCTACATTAGTATTAAACGAAATGATGTGATGGTATTTGAACTGTAGGTTTCTGGCAGGGAGTGTTACACAATTTGCGAACAGAAATGACTTAAGACTTATATTGAAGATCACAGGGATCACATGTGTTGAATTTCTTAAAAAAATAAAACCTCACATGAATAACCAAGAGGCGTATGCTCATGATATCATACCAAGCAGCATGTTGGGCGAAGCGCTGTGAAGTTAAAAGTCATGGACTGTTTGCTTTAATTTGCTAGTGTTTTACATCCTTTTAACATCTATTATCATTTAAAAACGACCCTGGTTTTGGTGGTGGAGGAAAGCTTGAGTGCTATCAAGTTTGTCTCAAAATATAATCTTTTTCCAAACATTTTAATGGCCGTTCAAATTTATATCAAGTTTGTAGCTTGCCCGGATAACATATTTTTCGGTCAAATTAATTCATTTGATTAACTTTGAAAATAAATTAAAATCGTTCAACGAAGATCTATCAGATGAGGGGAATAACGTATAGTCCGAAGTGTTAACATGCAAGCTATCAAGTTCCTTTCAATAAATGTTATCTTTATCTTCTTTGGAAGTCACGTATGTCAACTATTATTGTGAACAGCATTTAATATTAGGTGATAATTGCAGGCCCTTTGTGCCCCTTGTTTAGAATCAAAAGACCTCTCACATCACTACTATTATAAATCTTATTATGTACACATCGATATAGATGAATATATTTAAAAGTGTAAACCCAAGCTTTTTAAGGATCCCCGTCCCAGTCAAAGCAAAACACTGAAGAATTCCACTGTCGTTTTTCAGTGCCCTGATTACCATTTCGACAATGTTGTTATCTTCCCTTGAATAGATTTCGTTTGAATAACGTTTTGACTACAGAGT